GATCTAGACAAGAAAGAAGATGTGGGCATTGTTGAAACCCATGACACACTAGAAAACATGTCCTTCTGCTGTCATCAATTAACAATTGATGAGGAACTGATGTTGTTTATCAAATAAGATTCTTGTACTTCAATTTGCATTTACTTCAAGTTAATGTCATTCGATCTTACAATAAGTGACAAACTGAAGAAAGTTATCAAACACAATTATTAAATTTTATCAAAACAATAACAATTTGGTATTTGAATATAATTTTAAATATAACAAACTTACAATAAGTATTAAATGGTAAATAATAAACAAATTATAATAATTGATATTAAATGGTAATAAACAAAATTAACCAAAATACATTAACAAAAAGTCCAACAAATTTAACAAAATAAATTAAAATAAATCCAACAAAATTAATGAAATAAAAAAAGTATTAAATGATAAATAATAAAAAATTACAATAAAAAGTCCATTAAATAACTAAATACAAATATAATTAAAAAACAAAATCTATCGATGTTTGCGACGCGAATGTGTTCCGCAGGGCGGTGATTGTCAGTCTCGAGGAGGATTTCTTCATATCAATGGTTGTGACTCCTCGCTGTCATCATCGTCATCGTGAGTAGCTACATTAGGTTGATAAAGAGCTGATGATGATGAAGCACCTCTATAGAATAAGGACCCTGGAGGTGTATGACTGACAATCCCACCGGCCTGTAAAAACTGAGAAAACTTATAAAACCCAGACATCGCTGAATGTGAAAGCTGTACAGGAGGTATATGTGCTACGACCATGGGTGATGAGGCTGAACTCGCCAAAATGTGGGCATATGAACCCCAAGTCGGATCTGCAAACATAGACCCATAATATCCTCCAGGAGGGGTCATAAAACTATGACGGTAGCGACGGGGGATCATAAAACTAGGTGACGGTGGCAGTGGTGGCATCGGGTAAGGGAACGACGGTGCGACATCACATATGGCTGCGGTATGTAAGTCGATGTAAATGGTGGCTGCTGTGAAGGTCCTACTAGTGCAACTGAGGATGAACCGGAAGCACCTGCTCTCCGTCCACGAGTCGGGGGATGATGGTGATATGTCGGTGAATGTCTCTGTCGACGTCGCTGAAAGGTATGCCCTCGTGCATCCTCGAAAAGTAAAAACAATTTCCCGTTACTGTTGAACCACTCATAATAACCGTTAACAACTATCAAGAGGTCAGTAAAAATTGGCTCTATACGGGGAAGGCGCCGATATCGATCCTCCCACAGCACGACCCACTCATGATGTCTCACCACCCAATCTGTATCGATCTTGTCTCATCTATCTGTGCTATGCAACTCGTCCATATTGCGAGGTGCTTCCGAAATTGGTTGAAAACAACCAAATTGCCGGAGCACGCAATCAATGGAGTGCCACTCGACGATCGCATAACAGATCAATGGGACTATCGTCATCCAAACATCTAATGGGCCCCTCAACTCATGTGGGATCACCATCCTCACATCATCATTAGAATATGACACCCATTCAAACTAAAACAAATATATAAAATTTTTATCAAAAGAATAATCTAATTATACAACTATAATCTAAAATCGATTTTAAACATTAAAATGCATACCTGTGTGCCATCCTTCTGATCGATTATCACCCTAATTTTTTCTAAATCATCAGGTAGCTCATATGATTTTTCCTATCAGTATACCACCTATTCAAGGAAATTTTTTTTTATTATACACTGTATAAAATGATTAATACACGAAATCAGTTTTATAATTACCTCAATAGTAGCGGAAATACGAATGGGTTATTGACAATGGGACATAAAAATAGCAATCGATACCATGCCCAAGACTGCAGCAGCAGGAGACATCCGCCGATAGCATTTTTCTTGTAGTTAGTGGCTCGACACATCTCTATGTACATGAAAGCTAAAACTGTCGAGCCCCAACTGACTGATTCGGCTAGACGAAAGACGTCGCAACCACATACAGTGAACTTGGTTGCACGATTTGTCCAAATACACCCTTTTATAGCTGCAGTATGCATGCTCGTGCATACATTTTAACTTCATTATCAGAGGCGTCCTCGCTCAACTCCCGAAAATTGGCAACTAACCAATTTAACGGTATCCGACCACTGTTAAAACTTTCCGGAACACGTCCTAGATAATCCCGGCACAAAGCAGTCCATGAACTGTGCGCCATCCCTGATATCACATCTCCATCCACCGAAAGCCCCATGTGCATAGAAACATCATCAAGTGTAATCGTGCACTCTCCGCACGAAAGATGGAATGTGTGGGTTTCCGGCCTCCACCGCTCCACTAAGGTATAAATAAGGTCTAGTTATATCTTACAGTGACCCTCATATATACCTATGTGACTGAATCCAGCCTCTACTAAATACGGCAAGACACGACTATGTATCACTAACTTAAAATTCCTAATAAAAGGATATAATACATGGTCTCTCTCCTAAAATTAAATAATTACAAACATTAATTTTTAAACTAATAATCATACATTAAATAAATAAATTATTACTAATAATTTAAATTATATTAAAACGTTAAAATGTTACCGTATTAGCAAAATGTCGTGATATATAATTCCGACCCTCATATATACATGTGACTGAATTCAGCCTCTATTAAATACGGCAAGACACGACTATGTATCACTAACTTAAAATTTCTAATCAAAGGATATAATACATGGCCCCTCTCCTAAAATTAAATAATTACAAACATTAATTTTAAACTAATAATCATGCATTAAATAAATAAATTATACTAATATTTAAATATATTAAAACGTTAAAATGTTACCGTATAGCAAAATGTCGCGATATATGATTTCCATCCAAGCGAAATACCTCCTTCCATTTATATCTGTAAAAAATTAATAAATAAAATATTAAAAATTAAATACTTAAATAATTGAAACAAAATATTAAATATAATAAAATATACCTTAAACAGTTAAAATAGAATATAAGAGTATTTGAGAGAAGTTGAGAGGATTTTGTGTGATGAAAGTGATTTAGAATGAGGATATTTACATGGAGGGGGTGTGGTGTGAACGGCCGGGGTAGGGGTAATTAAACCTAAGGCGCGACGTAGGGGTACGACTTTCTGACGCGTATCAGCATTAAAGGTAAAGCGCGACCTCTGTCCCGCTTATACCCCACGTGACGCTAGATCAACGTAAAACGCGCTGCTAGGGCCACCTTACTGCAAAAGGTATTAAATTAAAAAAATAATCTGAAGGGTGTCTGACATAGAATATTATAAGATATAGGTAATGTTTCAGGAAAAACGCAATAAATATGATTGGTAATTAAATAGACATTTTGTGGTACGGGTGTACATACATCACCATCAGATGTTTGGAATCACGTGGGTTGCCTTCCTATTTTACATTGAAATCCTAAAAAAAACAAGAGGCCCCTCTATCCTATTTACATCAATTCTTCAATTATTGATCCTAACAAAAACTATTCAAAGTTTTCCCATTATACAGATTCAGATTAGATATTCAAACACATTAACATAATTTTTCCTTAGAAAGTTTCATTATTATGGAACTAATGTAATGGTAGTCACAAATACTTAATGATATATATATATATATATTTCTAGAGCAGACAAACCATATGCAAAACATCACAAGAATAACTAATTTTATTAAAAAGATAAAATATTTATAATTTTCATGAAAATTTACAATTATAATCATAAATTAAATACATAATAAAAACATTTTTCTTATAACCATTAACTAGAAAAAGGTTAAAAATCTAACAAAAATACTCGAACGAAAGATAGATACGAACATATTTGATCGCTTCAACAAATGAATCACAAAAAATGATTAAGCTATTGAAAGACTATTGACAAACCACAAATTAAAATCGAGTGACGTGATAAAACTATCCACGAACATAAATAATGTTTCCTAATCTAATCAGATGGTCCAAAGAAAGATCAACATGATAACAAATAAGTGTCATCTTGATCATCCGTGACGATGTCAAATTCAACCCCAAAAAAAGATAATAAAACAACAATCGGAAACATACCAAAAGACAGAGAAAATCATATCATAAAGATAGAGTTATTAAAAATTTAAAAAAACAAAGATAAATCAAAGACATGGTATAAGAAAATAAAGAAAAATAAAAAATACTGATGATGGTAACCACTACCTAAATTAATATTATTGTTTATCAACCAAAGATGAAAAAGAAAATTAAGCAGGCAAAACATCAAATTAATAAACGTTTTCATCGTTGAAGCTCCACATTGACCTTGTTCATAACAAATGTTATTGTAATTTTATTAATTTAATACACATTGATCGAGTTTTAATTTAGTAATATAAATGATATTATAATATTTAAAAATATAAATTCAAATACAGAAAAATATGCAATATTCTTTTTTAAGAGTTTAAAAAGGTTCAAACAGTTTTCAAAGTTTGTAGAATTATTTGAAATGCTATCAAGATATCAGATGAATTAAATGAGCTGCACGCATAGATTTTTTATAATTTTTAAAATTATTTTATTATGATATTTATTCAAAGTAATTTTATTTTAAAGTTAAATTCAAGAATTAATTTAACTACAACAAAAATAGAAACGCCACGATATTATTTTAAAATAATTATTTGTATTTTTTTAAAAAATATTTTATTTTATTATAATAATGTTTGTGTCCTAGAACGCCACAAGACTGGTACACATTACACAATGGTTTTTGTGTTCTTAAAACGCCACAAGAGTCAAGACTGATATACAGTGAATTTTCTTTTTAATAATATCATCAATATTTAATTTTCTTTTTTCTCTTTAATGTAGATATATATATATATATATGTACGTTTCCAAAAACGAAATGGTAGCAAAAATACGTATATCTATACACCACTTGATGTGAGAATATGGGACCATTGTCCTGAGCTTAAATTAGAGCTGTTTCGCGAACGAGACCGAGTCTGCCGCTCTCTCTATCAATAAACCTTTCTCTGTCTCTCTTTGTTTTGTAGCTTTACCCTACTCTTTCCTTTTTTTTTCTTTTTCAATTCCATATGCAAATGGAGGATCATCGTCACCATCAGTATTCCATGCCTGATCTTAGGCAACTACTGAATGGAAAACCAATCAATTTCCAACAATTTCCACACGATGCTGAGTTATTCTCCCCCGGTCACCGGAATTCGCCGCCACCGCACCACCACCACCACCACCCTTCTGATATGATGCAAATGGCGGGTATGCCATTTGGTTCCACTGCTACTACTACTGATCCCGTGGCTTCCGTTGTGGCGGTCACTAGTGCTTCCACACTTAGTCCCAGCTGTGGGTTCGATGGTGATGCCGCCACTGCTTTCGGAGGAGGAGGATCTGGAAGGTGGCCGAGGCAAGAGACTTTAACACTCCTTGAGATCAGATCTCGTCTCGATCCCAAGTTCAAAGAAGCTAATCAAAAAGGTCCTTTATGGGATGAAGTTTCCAGGTATATCCGTATATATATATATATATATATATATATATATATATATATATACATACAGACAGAATAATTCATACCCTAATTCTTTATTCTCTTTCATTGCCAATGGCTGGCTCCTATGATTTCTTCAACTTAGCAGCTTCACCTCCACAGATTATTATTCCTTAAAGCAAAAATACATATATTTCCTTATTTTACCATGATTGCACTGCATTTCCCCCTTGGTGTTACTATTAGAGAAAACTTCTGAAGAAAAAAGAAGCATATACTGTAAACAAGTGAAGTTCAGAAACAGGAACAGTGTTCTTTGCAGTTTCTCATTTTCATGAGTTTTTCTTAATAACTGACTGACTTGCCTCATCTCTTTTCCTTTGAAAATGTGTTGCCTCCATTATTGTGAAAGCTTTTACCGTCCAAAAAATTACGAACATTTATGATGTTTTAACTGCACATTTGCTAGTTTCTATCCATGAAAAGACGTTTTCTTCAGTCCCTTGCGAAGTTTATCTTTGTTTCTCAATTTCGAATGGTCAAATAATTAGCTTATCTTGGTTTACTTTTGCAAATTTGAGTTAGGGTTCATGTATATTTGTAGTTTAATTCATTGCCATTTTCTCTCTAGGATCATGTTGGAGGAACACGGGTACCAAAGAATTGGGAAAAAATGCAGGGAGAAATTCGAAAACTTGTATAAATATTATAAAAAGACTAAGGAACTGAAGGCCGGTAGAGAAGACGGTAAACACTATAGATTCTTTCGTCAACTTGAAGCTTTATATGGAAATACCAGCAACAACAATGGCGTTTCAGGCCAAGAGATGTATCACTCTCAAAAGCTTTGTGATAGTCTTCGCCTCTCTAGTTCCTCCAAATTCGACACTTGTTCGTCGGATAACAATGTGTTGAGCACTGCAAAGAAAAGGAGTTCCAAGAGATGGAAAGCAAAGATAAAAGAGTTCATTGATTCTCAAATTGGGATGCTAATGGAGAGGCAAGAGGCATGGCTTGTGAAACTGACGAAGATGCTCGAGCAGAAGGAAGAGGAGAGGGTTTTAAGGGAAGAACAATGGAGGAAAGAAGAAGCGAGCAGGATAGATAGAGAGCATATGTTTTGGGCTAAAGAGAGAGCTTGGATCGAAGCTCGTGATGCTGCTTTAATGGAGGCATTGCAGAACTTGACCACGAAACAATCGAAGGCCAGTGAAAACCATGATGAAAAGGAAGATGGGTGGCAAGAAGCTGAGGTTTTTAAGCTGATACAGCTGAGGGCGGCCATGGAAGCGAGGTTCCAACAAGGAGGGTTTCATGAAGAGGTTATTTTGTGGGAGAAAATAGCTGCTAAGATGGGTTGTTTAGGCTTTGAAAGGAGTGGTTTAATGTGCAAAGACAAATGGGATGCCCTAATGAAAACCAAGGAGATGATGAGTAACAAAAAACGAAAGGAGAATACAAGAGGATGTGATTATTATCAGCACAATGAGTCGCTCTATAGTACTCATCAACCAAATGATGGCTCCTCTCACGCTGTAAACGATAGTTGCTTTCTGTTCTTCATGGCCGATGGGGATAATAACTTGTGGGAAAACTATGGTTTGAAGCTCAGCAACTGATGAGGAAAAAAATCCCAGTAATTTGAAACAAAAAAGATGACAGATTCAAACCTTAATCTTAATCCCATACGGATTAATGTGTTTAACTTAGTATTATCTTGCATGGAATTAGAAAGGGTGTTTAAATGATACTGTAGGAAGAGAACACTAAATCCTTCAACTTTCATTAGCAGAATTTCTGGAATTCTGCTAATTAATGCATGGGAACTTGATTTATGTTAGTTCTTCATGTATTATATTTGCCGATAATTTGTTGTGTTGTGAAATATATATGCTTTACTGAGAGATATAGCCCCACGTGTGCTATGTTTTATGTACAATTTCTCTGTAATACGGTGCATAGGTTAAGGGATCATATTATGGAAATCATCTCATTCATAAATATAAATCATATACTTCTAATTTCTTATAAATTCTATATCCATATAAACATAAAATTTCTTAAAAATGATTCATACTAACTAATAATTTTATATTCAAATTAAATTAAATGAATCATAAATCGTGAATAAAATCTTCTCATAATATATTGTTGAAATTGAAAGAGTTTGGTATAGCGAGTAAATACGAGAGATAAGTATGTGAAGTAGTTGAAAATTCAGGAGAGAATTGGCGATGAAATCAACCTTTGCCTAACAATGTCGGCTGATAAGTTATTGACGACAGGTAGGGATCGGGTAATGTTTTTTTTTATTTAATTTTTATTTCGAATAATTGAAAAGCAATGAAATTTAATAGAAAATAAGAATATGACCGAATCAAATATATATATATATATACATAAAAAGTTTTACCTGATTTAGTGTTGGAAATTAATAAAACTTTTTTTTGGTTGCTATAATACAAACAAGCTAATAGCCATTAGCAAGCAGCTGGCATATGACTGCCACGAAGAGCTCAACCAGGTCTAGCCCCTAATCTGTGAACTCTTAGATGTTTGCTTGTAGTATTGTTGCTGGCAGCCAATATTTCCTTCATTAGACGCATGCTCCGGGTGATGATGTTGAAAGAAATGTACATTGAAAATAGCAAGATTACGATGATTGTATAGGTTGTAGCAAAGTACCGGAAACAAAATGTTCCACTGTCAATCCTCAGTCCCTTGGCTTCGCATAACCAAACATGCGGCGGCTTTGTCTTGAAATCCTAGAGCTTGTCCCAGCTCAGACCAAATGGATGGAGCCAGCGGAGAACGTGATGGATGTCCCCGTACTTGATTATTAATAAAACTTTTGATGTACAATATGGAGAAGAAAGAGATTGATTATTAATTATGACTGGTGCCATCTTCCAAACCCAACAGTTCGGTCTTTGTTTTCACAGAGACAGTGACTGGCCCCGTACTTGGGAAAGACTAAAGAAGCTTCCCACCCATCGCAAATAATCAAATATAAAAGTATTTTAATTTTATACAAATTTAAAGGGTTAATAAGTGAAAATATATTATTTAGATTAATAATAGGAAATGATAAAATATTTACTAAAAAAATAAAAAAAAAATTAATCTCAACTGTCTTTTTTAACTATTCCAACAATCTTAAATTTATATAAAACTAAAAATAATATTATATTGTATAAATAAATCCAAACTCCTATACTGAAACATATTTTAATTGTCTCATAAATGAAAGTGTTCGGTACAATTGGGTTTTGATCCGCTTATCAAATATGGAGGCAACTCAAAAGCATCCAACACAATTATACCTATAATTAGGGTTATAAATGACTCGATTTTTCAATGAGCCGAAATAAGCTATTCATATTCGACTCGAAAAGCTCACGAGCTACTCTAAAAAGCAATATATTAAATATTTATTTTTAAAAAATATATAATTATTAATAATATTAACATTTATGTATTGATTTTAAAAAATACAACATAAATATATTTAAGATTAATGTTCGATTTCGAGTTTGAGCTTTAACCAAGTTAGTTTAAGATTTTTTTATTTTGAGCTTTTTCGAGCTTCAATCATGGTTTCGAGTTCGAGTCGAGCTTTAAAATTTTAGGCTCACAAATTTTCTAACCGAGTTGAGCTCCATTTCAGAGTTTTCGAATCGAGTCGAGGTCAGCAATACTCAAGCTCGATTCGGCTACAATACTCTTGTCGTAAACAATTTCAATATTTATCAAATTAACACTTGGATTTTGAAATTTTATTCATTTAAGTATTTAATAAATTAATTGTTTCATTTAACAGATGCAATTATAATAATGAATATAATTATAATTTTTAATGCACTTCTGAACTTAACCGCTTGTAACAAAGTAAGTTACAAAAAAGATAAAAAAAAAGTTGACATCAAAATCTAATTAATTTCCATGTTGGTATGATAATATAATAAGTAAGAATAAATACTTTATACGTTGTCAATTATCTTTAGTGTAAGTGATTAAAAATATTCAATTAATTGTAACACCCCAATTTAGGGGATAAACTTTAGAAATTATACAATATTGAATTTAATTGGTATTTTGGAAGATAATTGAGGGTTAAATTGAAAAATTTCAAAGTTGGTAGACCATTTTAAGAAATGTAAGAAATTCAATGGCTAAACTCATGATTTGACAATTTCCTTTAGGAGAAAATATAAACCCCATTTCTCGTGTATTATGCAGAAAAAATTCTCATTTTTGCTCTCCCGGTTAACGACTTTCAACTCTGATCTACTCGTCGTCTGATCTCCGATCGATGAACCGAAACCACCATCGTGCTCGTTGTTGACTGATGAATAAAACCCCTTAAACTTCTCATTGTGAATCGACATCGTTCGTCGTTAATTTCAATTGGAAGTATCGTCGGTTTTAACTCAATTTCTGTTGGTTTTTCGTCGATTCATGACGATTCGGCCATCCGTTTTCGACACCTCCCGCACCATCGTGTTCCTTACATCGTTCCGAGTCCACCGATGTTCTCCGTTTATCCGTCATCACCGGCGCGTGAAGGGGTGAGAAAGTCAAAGTTTTTGATGTTCCAGAATCGAGCTCTCCGCCGTTCAAAATTGTGAATCGAGCTTAGTAAGTGTCTCAAAATGCCTTAAAATAATTTTTAGGAATTTTTCAAGAATTTTTCCGACACTGTATCAGTGTTCACACGCACCCACTGCTCGTAGGAGGTGCTAATTTTGTAATTAATTTCTGTTAGGGTGATATTTATGTAAAACACGGGTTTTAGTTTTGTAAATATTTTTAAAAGGTAGCTAAATTTGTAATTAATTTTCGTTAGGGTGATATTTATGTAAAACTGTTGACATGCCTTGACCGTTGACCGGCGTTAACCAGAACTTTGACGACGTTGATTGGGTGTTGAACGGTCGTTGACTTTTTACGGGTACACCTATCCTGATGTTTTTCGATGTCCTGAGTTCGATTTCGCAGCCCGTTTTACGAAATTTAGACCCGAAAGCCTCGAAATTTTCAGTTAAATCCGTTGACTTAACTTTGACCGAAAAGTCAAAATTTTCGAAAAGTCATATTTTATGTTTTCGACGTCCCGAATATGTTTTTGGGTCCGTTTCGCCAAACTCGAACCCGGTAAGTTTTTTTTGACTGATTTATCACCCGATTCGATCCATTTTTCATAATTAAGCTCAGTTTTTATGTAATTTTTGTTGATATGCATCTGAGGAATTGTTAGAAGATGATTTCAAGATCGAGGGTGTTCGAATGAAATTTAATGGTCGATCAATATACACGAAAATCGAGATAATACATTACTACCTATTTATGCTTTATGGAACATGTTGATATTGGTAAATGCATGAATAAGATAATGTTGGTCACTTTTGTGGAGTTAATTAATGAAATTCTACACTCTATACGAAGGCGGTAGAAAGTAAGTAACTGAATATGACTCTGATGACTATTATAAGAAATTGGATGACAATTGGAATTAAATTACAAGTTATGAGATTAAGTGATATAGGAATCAGCACTGGATATGCAATTTATAATCTATCTTATTTGATAAAGTATGGAAATACTTCGATTAGGTAAAATTACAAAATTACCCTTATGTTGTAAAAAGACAAGAATTGACCCTGGAAGTTGGATAGGAAGTTGTAATACATATTGATATGATAAAACTACAGATGTGTATAAGAAATGCTAGTTTGCTTAGAAAATTTGGATAATTAGTTTTTAAACCTAAAAGGGTTTGTGCAAGATGCTAGGAGAATGGTAAGGGAATCATTTCAAGATCAAAATTGTTCGAAATGTATGAAAAAGATGATACGTTTGAATTAAATAATAAGATCGGATGGAAGGAAATGATTGAAATACGTTGGATCGATAAAATGACCAAAATACCCATGTAATGGAAATGAACCAATAATATCACCAAGCCCAGGAATGAATGGATATCCTCATGCTTTTAAATGAATGGAAAAACATTGAGCACCAAAATGACCAAAATGCCCTTATGGTCTAGACTAAATAAATGTCATGGATTCGTTAAGGAATTCAAATAAATATGAATGTGGTATTGCCTAAGTTATGGAAAACACCTTATGTGGGTCGATCAACGATAATACTATGTTAGTATTTGAATGGCATAAATATCACTTGAATGCATGTTCGTTTTCTCAAGTTTGGATCGATAATAATTCTGGTAGTACTTAGCTAAGCTCAACTCTAGATCACATTCAGTAATAAGAATTTGATATTTGTTAGACAAATCAACCACGAAGACCAAATTGAATTGAACAGAAGTACAATATGTATCTGAAATTCAGAAACGTCTGGATTACTCTGGAAAACCCCGAAGTAACTGGAATGAACTTGAATGCTAAATGAACTAAATAACCTCAAGGACTGAGGATTAAGTAAGTGATTAGGATAAGTCTGGAAATTTGGATGAACTTACATAACGTATCTTCCCTATGGGTTATAAACCACAAATTCAATACGTCAACATTTTCAGATATAGTTGAAAATGGAATTGAATTAAAAATCATTAGAATATATGTTCGTCTCCTTAAGATCTATTCAGTGATGATTCTGAA